AGTTCGGGCGCTACTGAGGGAGCACATTCGTTTGTTAACGTTGAGCATTTACAGCAGCAAAACCAGGTCAAGTCCCTGAGCTCGTTCATGCGCTGGAGGAAATGAGCAGCGTTTGTTGCCTCAAAAACCAGGGGCCTCATTTACAAAACTTGTTTACGCAAAAATCCGTGCGTGCGCTTCCTACGCCAACCGCGGTATTTATAAAACTCGACAAAGGCGTGGCTCTTTGCTTAACTCTGCGCCAACTCGGGAACCTCCTGTAAACTCTACGCAAAGTCTGGAGACACGGGGAAAAAGCGACACTCGTGGAGAGAAGCAGAAGTGAACAGAGTTTGAGGAAGAGTTTGATCAGAAAATCCACGTATATAGAAGAATTACCTTTAAATTTGCGTATTTAAGTGTTTGGTTCAACAAAACACGGAGCAGGTCTGTTTATTCCACTCATTATTCTCCACAATATTAAACATTTAAGACTGAACCACTGGTTCACAAATTACTCCTGGACAGGAAACTTCTGCTTATTATGAAAACATACTTTATTTCCAAGAGCGAGACAAACGTTTTCAGGACATGAAAGCGATATCCTATGTCTGAAAACGTAATTTTCAAGGCAAAGAAAGAGTCCGCTTGCTGCTGCGTGTTGTAGCTAGTTCATTCGCACGGAATCTCCGCGCACCCTTCTCTGCTCCTCCCCCCGCTCCTCACTTCTCCGTCTTGTCTAACCAACACTGTAGTTAGTTGTTTACAAGTCATGTGCAGCGGCTGTAAACAAACCTGTTTCTGGCGTAAGGAGGAGGAGGGAGGAGGTGTTTCTACGTAGGAGCTGTGGGGGAGGGGAGGTGGTTTCACACATGCACAACATTTGAAAAAGGACAAACAGTCGCTGGATTTCTCGTTCCTTGGAAAATCCTCTATACAACCTTTAAACCTTGTTTAATAAAGTCTTTAATAAAGTGTTTGTCGTGATCACGTGGTGCTGCGTGGAGCCTCCTCCTCCCTCTGTCCCGCGTGTCTCGGTCAAACCCACTGATTATCGGCTCATGTTTAGAGAAATTCTCATTCACCAGTCACTTTACCTGCTCCTTTTATGGTGAGGTGGAGGTGTGAGGGGGCGTGGTCTGTCCTTTTATGGTGAGGTGGAGGTGTGGAGAGGACGTGACGTGACGTGGGGTTTACGTGCTCAAATTCTAGTTGCAGGTGGATTTATAAATCACAGATTACAGGTTTGGTTCGTGCCGTGGGTTTTCTAAATATGGAGTTTGCGTGGCGCACGCCTCTCGTAGCTACAGACGTACGCACGAACTTACGACAACTCCTGCGCAGTTTTTATAAATGAGGCCCCAGGTCTTTATGCAACATGATCTGCAGCTGTAATGGCGTGTGCCACACGGGGGCGCCGCAGTGTAGTATCTGTTTGTGCCGTTAACAGAAGTAGAAGTGCAGTGTAGCACTTGTACATGTGAGTTCACTGTTATTACACCGCATTAAAAAAGAATCCTGGACAGACTGGAGCTTTTGCGTGTCTTTAAGCCTTATTTACATTTTCTAGATCATTTTGCAACTGAGTGGTGACTTAGTTTTGCCCGAGAATCTTTCATTTTAACCCGCGGCTCATTTCCGCGTGTGGAACCCCGCTACGAATACGAGTATTTTTGTGTTTGTTTAGAAATATATGGATAATGGGCAAAAGTAAAGAATTAGTCTTTAAGCCTCAACCTATTGTATTATGTTTTCTTGCATTCGGCAGCACTGTTACATTCTGAAATGGACGCGTGTCCGAAAAATCCAACTTTCAAAGACGCGACAGGAGAAAAAAAAAAAAAAAGAAGCTAAACTCACCTTTCTGAGCCTCGAGCAGAACCGGGGTCAGACCCAGCAGGACCAGACCGAGCAGAACTGAACCAGAACCAGGACTTTGTCTCCAAGTGAGAGCCATGTGACGCGCCCTTGTTTCGGATCGTCTAATGCTCAGTGATACAAAGTTGGAAAAGTTAAAGCCAAAGATAAAGTAGATGTGCGGGGGCGGGGGATGATGATGATGATGATGATGATGATATGATGATTGATTATTATTATTATTATTATTATTATTATTATTATTATTATTATTATTATTATTATTTATTTTTAATGATACATATATACAATATATAGAGCATAAACACAAAAGCAACATTCACCATCATTCATAACAACGTGTACAAATTAAAGGATGGGAAAAAAAAAAAAAAAAAAACAGACTCCAGTAAAAACCCAAAACACAAACCCAATTAAAAAAACTAATTGAAAGCAGCATCAGCGACTGATCTGGTTTTTGGGACAGAGGAACTGTGTCTTTGTAGAGGTTGATTATTGAAACTGATGAATAGACTGAAAATAATCAACGTTAGTCACTTTTCAGAAGTTGCAGTTTGAGTCAATTTGGGGAAATCCAGATAAAAATGTGTTTATAGGGTAAAATGTTCTCTTATTTTATTGAGGTTTGATACTGAAATGAACAGTCCAAGTTTTACTCCACTGTGTGTGTTTCAGTCAAATTTTCCTCTGGGTTGAATTTTATTTTTGCTGAATAGATTAATCCAGATGTGTTTGTTATTGCATTTTTCATTAAGAAATTCAATTCCATTTATGTATAAATTGTAGTTGTTAAAACTGGAGCTCTGTGTTTCCCTTCATCAGTTTTCACACTCACCTCTGGAACAGACTCACCTCCACGACTCATTTATCTTCTCTGAACACAACTGGGAATCGATACTTCTGCATAAACTTCTCATATTTTTAAATTTGGCCCAAATCATCAAACAAATTAGACACAAGAATGATTTTTTTGTCAGATTATTTTTTTACCTTTTAGAATGTTTTCATTGATCATTTTATACACACACACACACACACACACATATATATATATATATATATATATATATATATATATACATATAATACATGCACACTGTTGGGCAAGTTACTTTAAAACTGTAATGTGTTATTTATGACTTATTACTGTCATTTGTTACATGTAATTTGTTACATTACAATATTACTGTGTTTAAAATGTAAAACATTACACGACTATTAAGTTACTCTCACCAAAATAACTGTGAAGATGCTGAACTTTTGCCCCGTATATGGACTGAACCAAGACTAAACCAGGACTGAACCAGGACTAAACCAGAGCTGAACTAGGACTTAAGCAGGACTCAGTGTTGGGACGAGCTCGGAGGTGACCGCAGGAGGTGACCGCAGGAGGTGACCGCAGGAGGTGACCGCAGGAGGTAAACGTGGCCGTCGCCTGATCGAGCTTTACAGACACTCTGCTGTGGGGCTTGTGGTCCTGATTTCAGTAACTACTTGTGGGGACCCGACCCGGTGCAGGACTCTGCTACAGCCGCTCGACCTCTCTCTTCCAGAAGTGTCCAGAAGTCCAACTTTTTGTGCGATGGTTTGTATCGTCCTCTGTCTTTTGGATGTGACCGCAGGAGCCTTTGTCGGTGCAGAACGTTTCGTCGACATTGGGGATTTTGTCGGGGAGAAAACGTACAAACATACAACACTTCACAATCCCACTGATACAGATCCAACATTTATTTATATTTGTCAGCTGAACACATTCTGTACTGTACAGGAGACACGAGTCCCTCAGCCAATCAGGACGCAGCGAGAGAAACACACGTGTTCATACACTGTAAAAACAAAAGACATGCAAAATTGCACTAAAAAAATCAGCGAGACCACAAAAGGTGAAAGCAGGATAGAGAAAAGACTGTAAACAAGGTCTAAACCAGAACTGATCCAGGTCTAAACCAGGTCTAAACCAGGTCTAAACAGCGCGGAGTTCTGCATCGGTGCTTTCGTCAGAACTGACGTCTACGCGGCCGCGTCTCTGGCGTTTCATCGCTGCCGATATCGCGGTGATTTTAGCGAATTTGTATGAAGAAAAACCCACCACTTCAATCCAGGATAAAAAAACTTTGTGACGGACGTTACTCACATTTGTACACAGGAAAATATTATTTTTTTTTCCCTGTAATGCCACATTACTACATTACAGCAAAAAGCAACGCATTACTGTAATTCATTACTTTTATAACACGTTACTCCAACACTGTGTATGTGTATATGTATATATATATTTATATATACAGATGTGTGCTTGTATGCATTTACTTATGTGTAAATGGATACTGAACATCTCTAATGAAATGAATAAATATATATTAACAAACATGTTTGTATTAACTCACTCTACATGATTCTGGGGTTTTTATTTTGCAATTTTGTCCGTAAATAAATTTCTATTCCTGATATAGAACTCATCTTCAGATTCTCTCCTGTAACTTCTCTCAGTGAGCTTCATTTGACTGGAGCTGAACGTTGTGGGTGACGTCAAACTCCCTCAGTCCACTTTTTATACAAAGTCTCTGGTCCAGCCCAGTTTTCAGGCCAGAATCAGAGTATAGAATCAGAGTCTTGCTCAAGGGCAGCGTCAGCAGAGAACCAGCACCTGCATTTTTTTTTTTTACCAGTACATTTCATCACAGAAGAGTCACGTTTTTATACAGCACTTCTCCACCTCAGCTTCTGACAGGTGAGACGCCATTGAGATCATTTCAACAATTTTTTCTACTTTTCTTCACAAATTGCTTCTTTATTGGTTTAAAACGAACTAGAATTTATTTACAAAAGGTTTTATGCCTCCAGAAATTAGAGAATCATAAAAACCTCTGTCACACTTCACACACGTCACACTGCTGCAGACCTCCGGCTCCGGGGACAAACTCTCCACCGACTGAGCCGCGCTTTCACCTACACGACTCCATCTCCATTTTAAAACATTTAAACAGCCAGAGCCTGTGGGTGTGTTGTGTTCAGTTTAACTCTGTCCGGTGTGAATCCTCATGTGTCAGTTTAACTCTGTCCGGTGTGAATCCTCATGTGTCTGTTTAACTCTGTTCGGTGTGAATCCTCATGTGTCAGTTTAACTCTGTCCTAGTGTGAATCCTCGTGTGTCAGTTTTAACTCTGTCCGGTGTGAATCCTCGTGTGTCAGTTTAACTCTGTCCAGTGTGAATCCTCATGTGTCAGTTTAACTCTGTCCAGTGTGAATCCTCGTGTGTCAGTTTAACTCTCTCCGGTGTGAATCCTCATGTGGCTGTGGAGGGAGGAGCTGAGGTAGAAGTGGGCGTGGCACAGGGAGCAGCCGAAGCGCCGCTCGTGCGTGTGCGTCCTCGCGTGGCGGCTCAGCGTGGAGCTCGACGAAAACCACGTGTTGCAGACCGAGCAGCTGAAAGGTTTCTCGCCGGTGTGAATCCGCGCGTGGCACTTGAGCGACGCGTTGGACGTGAAGCGGGCGCCGCACGCCGAGCAGCCGTACGGTTTCTCGCCCGTGTGGCTCCTCGCGTGGCACTTCAGCGCGTAGCTCGACGTCAGGCGCTTGCCGCACGCCGAACAGCTGTAAGGCTTCTCCCCCGTGTGCGTCCTCATGTGGACTTTGAGGGAAAAGTTCGACGTCAGTTTGGCGTCGCACAGGGAGCAGCCGAAAGGTTTCTCCCCCGTGTGAGTCCTCGTGTGGATTTTCACGTGGCACCTCGAGACGAAACGTTTACCGCACACCGAGCAGCTGTAGGGTTTTTCCGGCGTGTGCGTTCTCTTGTGTTCACTAAGTTCCGTTTTGTGCTTGAATGTTTTCTTACAGACTGAGCAGCTGTAAGATTTCACTTCCGCGTGGCTCCTCGTGTGTCTTTTCAGATAATAACTCGAGGTAAAGTGCATGTCACAGACCGAACAGCTGTAAGGTTTGTCCCCCGTGTGCGTCCTCTCATGATACTGGAGACCGGTGGAATGGGCAAAACGTTTCTCGCAGACCGAGCAGCTGTAAGGTTTGTCCCCCGTGTGGATTCTCATGTGCACCGCGACGCTGCTCTTCTGACTGAACGTTTTCTTGCAGATTAAACAGCTGTAAGGTTTGTCCCCGGTGTGCGTCCTCCTGTGGACGTACAGGCTCGTCTCGTACGTGAACGTTTTCTGACACACTGAGCAGCTGAAGGGTTTGTCGCCCGTGTGCGTCCTCATGTGTCCCACGAGATTACGCTTCCGGGCGAATGTTTTCTTACACACCGAACAGCTGAATGGTTCCTCTCCGGCGTGAAGTCTGACGTGTCTTTGAAAACACTTTTTATACCCAAATCTCTTTTTACAAACCGAGCATTTGTGTTTCTTGCGTTTGGCTCTCGCAGCTGTTCCTGACACGTGTCCACGGTCCAGGGCGGTTCTGGTCTCGGGGTCGGGCCGGTGCTCGGGGGACAGACTCAGGTTCGGGGCGGCGCTGATTCTGCTGCTTCTGGTTCTGGTCTGGACCCGTCTGAAGCGTCCGCCGGCCTCCGTCTCCGTCCGTGGAGGCGAACAGCTGAAAGGAGCTCTCCAGTCTTCATCGGCGTCAGAGGAGTGGTCCGTGTCGCCCTCTGTCTCTGAGCGGACGCGTGTCTCGTCGCTGAGCTCCTGTCCCTGTGTTTCTGACTCTTCTGTCTTCACGTCCACTGCACTGGACTCGGGGACGCACCTGAAAATCAACAAACACACAATCACACTTTTGTCTAGAGCAGGAGTGGACAAACTTTTTAACTCGTGGGCCACAGACGCTTCTCAAATGTGACAGAAGGTCCAGAACAGGAGCAAATGTTTGAAGTTTTTTGGTATTTCACCTCATCAGAGAAATAATAACATGTGATCTGACTTCCTCTGTCTGTTTATTCGCTTCATCAGCACGTTTTATGATAAAGTGACGACTAGGGACGGGCATTCGATGAAATTTTCTTAATCGATTGTCGGAAGAATTAACGATCGATTATCAATTAATCATTAATGTTTTTATATTAAAATGATCATCATTATTATTACTATCTGCACTAATCTGCATAAATAAATTCAACTTTACGACATATAAACATAACGACTCTAGATCCACATCAGCTGTTTGACATTATAATGTGTTTAATTCAGTTTTGTTCAAATCTCACAGAAACAAAACTTAAAACCACATCACTAATTTACATAAACTAAGTGAAGATAAAACTCCAGCTCTTGTGTCGCTGATGTGGTTCAACTTGTGTTGGATTAAAAGACATGACTCAGGTGAATACAGGTCAGTGTGACCAGATTTGTGTTTGTCAAAACCAGGACAGCGTACGGGGGGAGGGGGGCGGGGCCTCGTCATCCACATTGAGCGACTCTCACCTGGAAAAACTTTTTCCCACTGGACACAGAAACATATGTGCTGCTTTATCCACTGTGCACATGGACTCACACTTGTCCCAACGCAACGGAAAGTGTGGAATTTCTTCTACAAATCCTGGTTAAATCCACATTTGTGCTTCGGTTCGTTACAGACTGACCCACTGTTTGTGTCTCGCTCCTTCTGATGCAGAGACACATGTACACACCTGTTTGGTCACGACACACACACATACATTCAGTTTGTCCATTAAAATGAACGGAATCGATGAAATTCTCAATGATCAATTATCGATTAATCGACTAATCATGCCCATCCCTAGTGACGACTGATATTAGATTCTTTAAAAACGCTACAGACTCTTTGTGTATCAGGCACAGCAGCTGATCGGTGTTCGGTAAAAAATATTTAGTCGTCCACTCCTTATTAAACAGTCGACATTCTCTGTCCACCTTCCTTTTTTTTTTTTGCTCCACTCGTCGGTACAGAAGCGTCGAGGGGTCAATACAGAATCATCTGAAAGCAGCTGACTGGTTGCTCCATTGGTAAACCAAACCAGGACTGAACCTGGACTTAGACTGGGACCAGACCAGCGCTGAAAACGGTTCAGTCCTGGTTCAGTCCGTTATCCGTTTTTTCCATTTTTCATTTAAACACAAAATCGAAAACTGAAAAAAATGAATCTTTATCTGTTTTTTCATTTTGGTTTTGGAGACAAATAATGAAGAAAATAGCTGTTTTTTTTTTGGTTGTTTGTTGTCTTATTTTTGGTTTTAGTTTGAAAAACGAACGAAAGACACGCGGATTTGAAATCTGCAGCTGAAAACGGGAATCGAGCAGCGGAAAGAAAGTTTGGAACGAGCGAGAAACTTGTGTTTGACTGGAGAAAAACGAAGGAAACTCGAACTGCAAACGAAGAAAACAAAAAAAGCTCATCTGTAAAGACTCAGAAGATTCAGCTCGAGTTGTCGGAGGATGAAGAATTGAAGTGATTTAGTGATTTGGAGTGAGATGGAGACTTTTTAAACTTGTTCTGTTCTGTTTTTTTTTTTACTACAACTTCACTTCACACAGGAAATGTCGGCTCCTGATCTCTCAGTTTATAAAATACACTTCCCAAAAAAATGTGACTTGTGTTTTTTTCTTCTTCATTATTCATTTTTTGGCTGGTGAGATTTAAACTCTGGAAAATACGGTAATTAAAAGCATCAGTTGTCAGTGTTTGAGGCTCACAGGTGCAGCTGCTCTTCCTCCTCTTTGACTCTCGGTTCTTCGGGCTCCTCTTTAACCCGGAGACTCTCTGGAGGCTCCCGGTTCAGGTCCGGACTCACTCGGGGGATCTGGACACCTGCAGGGACGTGAGGACAAAGGTCACCGCGGCGACATTTCCCACGTTTACACCAGAGCTTTAATTTTAAATAACAATAATTTAATTCAGAATAAAAATGAATTCCGCTTTAAAACGTCCCTGTAAACACTTAATTCCAAATGAAAATGATGATTCGGAATTAAAATCAGTTATGAAGTAAGTGTTTGGTTTATTCTGATTTTAAAGTTAATTTATTCCTCGATCATGTAAACGTTTATTCTTTTTATTCTTTTCATTCTTCAAAATAATTCCGGTCGTTCAGCACATGCTCGTTGTGTCGCCCTTAAGATCAAAAATCCCCAGAAAGACAGACATTGTGACTGTGAGCGGCGTCGCCTCTCCACAGATCTGACCTGGATCTTGGTTTGGTTTGGTCTCTGTGAAGGTTTAATGTTGTCATATATTGTCTTTATTTTTTTTGCACCAACAACTCAACTTTTTTTCCTTTTTTTTTTTTTCCTTTGCAGCAATGGCAAAATTTGATTTTTATTAGATT